TTTAGGGTTTGGGGTTTAGGATCCCTGTATCTTTACAATATATGCAGAACCCCTACTCAGGCCTGAATACTAGGATTGTACATGGACCCTTAGGGACTTTATGGACAGTTCTGTGGACTCTCCGTGGGCAGAAGGCTGAAAAGGAGGTAGCGTTTAGTGGCTTTGCGCTTTGGGTCAGCCTTTAAGATTTAGGGTCTTCTGGGAGTGGTTTGGAAGTTGGAGGGTTGGGGTCTTTGGTCCGGGCTTGGAATTGTGAGGTCAAAACTTGGGCATTTGGACAGTTGGCTCAGGGTTGCGGCCGAAGGCTTTAACGTAAAGGCTGAGGTCATTTGCATGTCTGACTGCTGTAGGCCCTATAGTTAATGATATAGCTACAGAAGCGCTTCATTGTACATTTTAACCATTTTAGTCCAGGGTTACTATAACTGGCCTTGAGGGATAGCATTGCTGTTTGTCGCGGCTTCTATCTTACAGCCTCAAAATGTAAATGGGTAGTTCTCTAAAATAGGATCCCTTTTCGGACCATAATTTGGAGAACTTCCCGTAGAGAGCCCTCACAGTACCCTTACAGAAACCCGATAGAAACACGTCTAGCCGTACAGATCGCTTTCAGGAACCCCTGAAAAGGCACCCTGATTTGGCGAATTACCCACATTCCTGGCAGGTCTCAAGAATCCACAGAGCTGTCATTGGATCACTGCGGCCCTTCCACCTTTCGGTGGTGGCCATGGTCTGAACTAGCATGACATCTTCGGGCTTCCGACGAATAACAAGAAATTAGTTAGTTACAGGAGATTCTGCATAAAGATAAATAATGAACAAGGATACCAGCGAACTAATAAGTAATAATCTGAAGAATAAGTGACGGTATGACCCCTGAGATCTTGCAAAGCTGTGTGAAACAACGTTGCAAGCTCCGTCGTGATACCCGATTTATGAGAGCCCTCCCAACCCCTAGAAAGCCCTATTAATGCCCAAGGCCCTGAAACGCTTAGAGCACCCCTTGAGGAGTCTCCTATACGCAGGTTACTAAAGACCCCACTTGCAAAAAGACAAGAAAAAACAACTAATGTAGGGGCCTAAATAATTAGAATAGGGTTTTGGGGCATATTATACCACAGTTATAATGAGGAGCCCCACAAAATAGTATAGGCAATTAATAAGGCCCCTAT